AAAAATTTAAGTTTCTGATTTTCATGCAGACATTATGAAAAAAGTTATTTTTGATTTATTAATAACTAAAGAGTCAAGGGACAATGGTACAATTTTTACTTCCTTTAGGAACGTATTGCTGCTGCCGCTTCAAGTGCTCAGGCTTCTGTGTCGGGGAAGATGCCCACAGACGATAAGCTCATTCGCCCACCACATACAGGAAACCCTGCCGTTGTTGATCCAGTTAGGTAAGCATTTAAATAATGAGGTACTTGGATTGAATAAACCAAATACAGGCATAAATCTTTTGGCCCTGAAGATACAATTGGTGTCTTAAATTAGTCCAACGCCCTTTCGTTGTTTTTGGGGGGGAAAAAAAATATTTTTGTCTTTCTTCAGGCTACCAGGATCTTCCAGACCGCAGGGTATGTTTACCCGTCCACCATTCCCTCCTCAGTGGCAGGGCCAGGCTCCAAGGAGGTTCCCTCAGCCTGGCATGGAAGCTGTGGGCATAAGGCACAATCTTAACCCTGCTGTCAATATCCAAGGTATGGAAGGCATGGGTAATACTCATGCCATGATGCCAGGGCACGGAGGTGAATCCATGCAGCCAATGAGTCAAGGTCCACCACCACAGTTCATTGAGTTGAGACATAATTCACAAAGGCCACCCCTGCGACACCAATTTATACCCCGTGGACCCCAGCCCAGGCCACGTCTCTTTGTCCCAGGGCAAGAGATGTCAACACCTTATGTTCAGCAACTTCCTATAGCTCAAGTTGGTGGGATTCAGACAGAGGGGTTACAACAGGGTGGACTGTCAGTTTTACTGCCTCAGCAGTCTCACATGCAACCTCAAAATGCTACTTCAGCCCAAAACACTCGCAGTACTGAGCAGCATCGACTTTCACAACCAGGTATAGTCACAGAGCCCCAGCCTGCAGCTGTAGAAAATGCAGAAGAACTGCCAGAACATGATCTTGATGGGCTAGGCGATGCTCCAGGAGATGGAGGAGTAGAAGATGAGGATGATTTGGCTCTTGACCTGGACCCTGACAAAGGAGATGATGACTTGGGCAACCTGGACAACCTCGAAACCAATGATCCACATCTTGATGACTTACTCAACAGTGATGAGTTTGACCTGCTGGCTTACACTGATCCTGAACTGAACCAAGGAGACCCTAAAGATGTCTTCTCAGACCAGCTGCGGCTGGTAGAAGCTGAAAGTGAGGGTCCTTCAGCGTCGTCTGGTTCTGCACATGTTAAAGTGGAAGACAAAGCCAAGGTGGAGCCAGAGCGGAAGGCTCTGACAAAAGTCCCTTCTACTGCACTAGAGTCTGCTGCTCAACTAACACGCTCTTCACAAACCGCTGATGCCTCTAAAGTTAAAGTAGAGAACAGAGGTTTGACGCCTCAGCTGCAAACGGGACAGACTGTGGTGAAAGCTGAAATGGGAGAAGCGGTATCCATGCCTCTTGGTGTGACCGCACCAACAACAAAGACTCCACAAAGTGAGAGCCAGTCTGCCTCACTCAGTTCTGTTCGATTAGGGGGACTTCCATATCCCTTGCCAGGCCAAGGTAATCCATTGCCTTTTCCTCCAGCTCCTCCACATGGCGATATGGGTGATGATCCCTTAGGACTACCTGATGTAGGGGAGCAGCACTCTCCTGCTGTAGATCTGGCAAAGGTAGAGAGCTCATTAGATGGTGAACTGCCTCTTCTAATACAAGATCTCCTGGAGCATGAAAAGAAAGAACAACAGAAACAGCAACAGCTCAGTTCTCTTCAACAAGGAGGCATACCACAACAGTTTTCAGGCATTCCAAATCCACATCCGAATCAACATTCATCTGGGCAAATAATGTTACCACACCACCATCGTCCACCACCCCAAGGTATGATGAATCAGCCAGGGATGGTACCGCGTGCGTCACACATTTTGCAGCAGCAAAGGCTTATGGGACCTGGTATAGTACCGCCAACTCACATGATGGCCCAGCAGCAAACCATGATGAGGACGATGCAGCCTGGGATGCAGCCTGGGATGCAGCCTGGGATGCAGCCTGGGATGCAGCCTGGGATGCAGCCTGGGATGCAGCCAGGGATGCAGCCAGGGATGCAGCCAGGGGTGCAGCCAGGGATGCAGCCAGGGGTGCAGCCAGGGATGCAGCCTGGGGTGCAGCCAGGGATGCAGCCTGGGATGCAGCCTGGGGTGCAGCCAGGGATGCAGCCAGGGATCCAGCCAGGACTTGGCCATCAATCACAACAGCAGCAGCCAGCAGTAAAACAGTCAACTCTGACCAACAGCTTCTTCCCAGATAAAGGTAAGCTTCATGTCTTGTCACGGCCACAACTTCTTCTTTTTTCTTTTGTTTTTCCATACTTCCACTAATTTCACCTATTATTGCAGATTTGGACAAATTTGCTACAGATAACATTATGGATCCCATTGCCAAGGCGAAGATGGTTGCCCTTCAGGGTATTAAGAGAGTGTTGGCACAGGATCCAATGGTTGTTCCCACTGGCATTAACAGGTATTTCTAATAATGTTTTTTTTTTTGTTTGTTTTTTTAATAAATAACATGGATATGTTTTTGCCATTGTTAAACTGCTGCTAGAAAGCAGAGCATGTGTTGATTGTGATTATCTTCAGATCTAGTTTTTGTTGTTGGTTCCAGCTCTTGTAAGCTGTTCAACGTAAAAGTAGCATCCCTAACACCACTGTTCACAAGGTTAACTGCTCAGCAACCACTTATTTGCAGTAGCTATGTGTCAGAGACATGCCTGCAATGGTAACTTCAGTGTTAAAGACTGCGATTAGACGATCAACTGTACCATTAGCACACCTGTTTGCTGAGGCCCATGTTAAATATTTTTAAGTGGATGTCACTCAGCACTGTTTTGCTTTCTCTTCAGGCAACAAGTTTCTCTGCTTGCTCAGAGGCTGGCTTCTGCCCCAGCCACAGATCCAAATCAACTTGCATCTGGACCTGCAAAGGTATGTTGGTTTATTTTTAAAAAGTGATCGATGATTTAATTTGTAAAACTGATGATAGCTGAGTCATTTAAATGCCACGTTTTTCTGTTTAGGAGGGAGAGACAAGTGATCCACCCCAGTCAAGGCCTAACCCTCCTCAGTTTGTGCAAGGAATAATCAGTATGTTTGACCAATACTGCCTTTTGAGCTGAATTGAGTCTTTTTTTTTTTTCCTTTTCTTTTTTTTTAAGATTAATTTTTTTTATTGCAGTCTCCATACATTTGTGGATAGCTAAGGGTGGTTTGTGATTTCTTTTCTATAGATGATGCTGAACAGCACCAATACGAAGAATGGCTTCTTCATACCCAGCAGTTACTCCAAATGCAACTGAAATTTTTGGAAGAACAGATAGGAGTTCATCGCAAATCACGCAAAGCACTGTGTGCGAAGCAACGCACTGCTAAGAAGGCTGGCAGAGAGTTTGCTGAGGCAGATGCAGAGAAACTTAAGTTGGTCACAGAAGAGCAGAGTAAAATTCAGAAGCAGCTTGACCAGGTGTGTAGATGTTCAATGTTCTGAAAACATTTTTTGCATTGCACAAAAAAGGCTTCTGGCACATTTGATATACATGATATACAGATGTCCTCATAAATATTCTGTTTTAGGTGCGCAAGCAACAGAAGGAGCACACAAATCTAATTGCAGAGTACAGAAGCAAGCAGCAGCAGCATCAACAACAACAGCAGCAGCATCAACAACAACAGCAGCAGCAGCAGCAGCAACAACAGCAGCAGCAAGGCTCTGGTATTATAACCCAAGGTCATTCTGCACAGGGGGGGCCCTCTCACATGTTTCCCAAAATGCCTGGTCAGATGATGATGGGCCAGCAGGGGGCACCAGTAATGGGGCAACATCCTGGCATGGTACCCCAAGGTGGGATGCCTGTCAGAATGCCCCAAGGTCAGCCCTTTATTGGAGGAGCCCAGCCACAGCTTTCTGGGGCTCTTGGAGCCAGTGGTGCCAGGGTCCCAGGTCCTCCTGGGCCTTCAGGAGGATTTTTCCCTCAGGGGCCTGGGGTGCAAGGTGCAGACCCTAGGCTTCTTCAAGAAAGACAACTTCAGCATAGGATGCAGATGGCAAAGTTCCAGCAACAGCAGCTGATGGGCCAACAACCAGTGTCACTCCCAAATCAACAGTCTAGTTTAATCAATCAGTCGCAGGCTGGTATGATGGGGCACCAACTTATGGCACAACAACAGGCGAACACTCAGCAGGGTATGCTAGCTAATCAGGCTAATCAGCAGAACATGGTCCAGGTTGCACAAGGAATAGTTGGAGGCCAGACTGTGGCTCCATCACAGAATCTTGTGGGCAGCCAGCCTATTAACCATTCTCAAGGCATGGTATCAACTCAGGCAGGAATAATTGGTAACCAACAAGTTGCATTGTCACAGCAGCAGAGGCCTCAGCTGATGATGGGACAGCAGGGTATGGTTGGTGCTCAAGGTCACCCTGGCCTGAGGGGGCCCCATGCCCAGTTGACTCCTCAACAACAGAACATTCTGGCCCAACGCATGCTTGCATCTCAGCAAAATATTACAAAGAATTTAGCCCACATTCAGCAGCAGCAAATGACACAACAAAGACAACCAGCACAGTTGATCAACCAGTCTGGCCAAGAGCAAGGTCTTTCCCAACCCTCTACCCCACAAATGGGTTCCTCTCCTTCAGCAGGAAGTAACACACCCCAGCCCCAGGGATCTACAGAGAGCCAAAACTCAGGACCCAAAGAAGGTGGTATCCTCAGCCCTGATTCAAGAACCCCACCACAGCAGAGCGGACCCTCTACTCCCAACCAGATCCAACTAGGCTCTGCAAATGATCATCAAACTGACCTGGGACGACAGCAGCAGCACCAGAATCAGGTTTATGTAGGCCAGCAGCAACAATCAAATCCCCAGTCTGTACATGAGAAACAGTCGGGTTTGGTCGGGAACCAGCAAACTGGTATGCAGCAACTGCAGCAACAACTTCCAGTCACTGTCCAGAGGCAAAGTTCCCTCACCACTGACAAGCCCAGTTTGATGACAATTAAAGAGGAAGGAAAAACATCTGATTTCTTACATCATCAACAGCAAACTCTTCAAAATACCACACAGCAGCCACAGGACCCCACCATGCCGCAACAGATCACAGGACACAACCATCCAGGGCAGCAACAACCTGCTATGATGGGTCTTAGTTCACAACAGCAGGCCATCATGGCCCAACAGCAGAAACAGCAGGTTTTAATGAGTATGATGAGAGCTCAGCAGCAAGGAATGATGGGACAGAGACCTGGTGTTCCTCCTGGACAGATCCGCGCCCCTATCAACATCCAGGCCATTATTGCTCAGAATCCTCAGCTCCGCAATCTCCCCCCCAACCAACAAATACAGCACATCCAAGCCATGATTGCACAAAGACAACAAGGACAAATGCTGCGGATGCCAATAGGTCAGGGCCAACAACATCAGTTGAGGCCTCAGCTCCCACAGATGGGACAGCAAATGATGGGGATGGAAGGCCATCAAATGTCACATGGAGTCATGGGGAATCCAGGAGCAGTGGGAAATCAGCACCAGCCAGGTATGCCAGGCCAACAACCTGGTGTTGCTCCTCAGATACAGCAAGGAATGATGGTCTCTGGGCAGCAGCTCCAAGTGGGAGAGATGATGCAGCAACATATGAGAGGACAGGTGCCACATTCCCCAATGGACCAGGGCCCAATGGTGAGGCCAGCATCTCCACGTCAGCCATTAGCCAACTCCCCTGGGGATTCTCAACGGCACACTTTTAATCAAGCTATGGGGATTCGTCCACCCACTCCCACCCAGAACCAACAGCAAGCACTAATGGCAGGCCGTGTGCAGGGCTCTCCATCGCATGCATATTCTCCAAGAACTCCCTTTGGCATGAGTCCAGTCCACCCAGTCTCACCCCATTCATCTCATGTCTCCTCACCTTCTATAGCTGACAGCAGGGCTGGGAGGGGCAGTCCCTACAGTCAAGTCAAGGCTTCTCCACTCAGGTCACCCGGGGCTAAGAGTCCACTTGATTGTCCAGGACCTAAAGCAGACACTCAGTCACCAGGCAGTGGTCTGGCTGCTTCAGTGACTTCCAATGGGCCACAGAGAGGTACAAATGCTCAGCGTCAGTTGCAGCAGGGTGCAGAAGACAAACAAGAGGAGCTATGCAAAATGACAATACAGAATATTAAACAGGAACCAAGGGAGGTCCAGTGTGACAGTGCGGCTGAAGCTCCTACTGGGACTATAAAGCATGAAGCAACCGGGGAGATGGTTAACGCTGGGAACAACACTACCTTTATTAATGCTGGAAGTGCTGCTGTGACTCAAAGCCCTAGATCTGAGACTGGACAGCAGTTGCTGCAGAAACTCCTAAGAACTAAGAATATTCAGCTTGGCGCTCAGAGGCCTTGTGAAGGCATCCACAGTGAGATCAATGGTCACATCAACAGCAAACTGGCAATGCTTGAGCAGAAGCTTCAAGGGACTCCACGAAACATGGAGGTATGTTTTCCTAAAGTGTATTCATTCTCTTTACCCTGATCCCAAAAGGTTGATTCTGTTTATCTGGACGTAGCGTTTTCAATGGGAGAAATGTTTCGTCACTCAACCTTTTGGGATTTACTTACCTGGATGATTGAGCATGCATCAAGACTCTTTACCCTGATGTTATATTTGGGAAAAATCTGTTTTATTTTCTTGACCTTTTACAGGATCTGCAATCGATAACAAAAAGGCCTCCTGTGCAAAAGCCAAAGCGCACTAATAAGGCAGCTGGAGATCGAGGGCCTAATGCACGGAAGAAAAACAAGAAGGAAGAAGTTGGAAAAAGTGCTGAAGCCTTGTTAAAACAACTCAAACAGGTACAATAATGTCAAAATACATTTCCCCCCCTAATGATATTTTGCCACTGATGATCTGAAGATTGATTCTTTTTCCTTTTCTTGGCTAATGGATTTTTACTCTGTAGGGCCTCTCTCTGCTGCCCTTGATGGAGCCGTCAATCACTGCCAGTGTGGATCTTTTTGCACCTTTTGGAAGCAGTCCAGCCAATGGAAAAGCCCAGCTAAAAGGCTCATTTGGAAATGCAGTGTTAGACAATATCCCAGACTACTACTCTCAGTTACTCACTAAGGTCAAACTAAGCTGCCAGTGCACCACCAACATTTTGAATAAGGCATAAAGGTAATTTCAGAGCAAAGTCTTCAAGAACATATTGTTTGTGCATTCACAGAGCAACCTCAGCAACCCCCCAACACCCCCATCTTCCTTGCCACCTACTCCTCCACCATCAGTACAGCACAAACTGCTCAATGGAGTAACAGCTGGGGAGGATCTGGCTGAGAGACAGAAAAACAGAGAGCCTGCTGAAGAGCCGATGGGTACATTTATTGTTCATTATTAATCCACAGTTATGCAGTAATTGCATTCTAAATGCAATGTATTATTATGCTGCATTTTGTTTCCTCCTTCAGATTCTGTGAAAGAGGAGGTAAAGAGTGTAGATATTCTAGCAGCTCTCCCCACACCACCACATAACCAGAATGAGGATATCAGGTACACAAGGACAACTGTGCATAGTTCTCAGTCCATAGCATAGATATTTTCATAAAGAGGCTATAAATGTGTGAAATATCTTTTAACAGGATGGAAAGTGACGATGAGGATGCTCCAGAAAGCATAATTCCAGCATCATCCCCTGAGAGTAATGTAGGAGATGAAACTCCACGTTTTCCTCACCTGCGGGAGCCTAAAGAGGAGGAGACGGACAGGGCAATATCACCTATCATACCCCTCATACCTCGCACTGCCATCCCAGGTATTCTACTCAGCATGTCACATCCTACGGTCTGCTGAGGTAGCAATGTGCTGCTCTGTATGGGGGATTAAATTCTAAGTTAGTTTGTTTTATATGGTTGCATGGATACATAGGTCATGGGGAAACCTGCTTGGAATTTATACGATTGTCTAATTTTTTTATTTTAAATATTAAATCTGTTTGCATCTTGAAATGCAGACAAATGTTGAATTTACACATTTGCTTACAGCATTCACAGAAAATAAACAATTCGAAGCTCCTGACGGCAAGGTAGATTCAACATCCAACCACTGGGATAAGAGCAAAAGCAACGAGGTGTCTGTAACGTTCACGTTGTCATCTGCTGCAGCCAAGGTACTAAGCCATCATAATCTTATATCGTCTTTAAAAGCTTTTATGTCTGAATCTATTGAGGCAATCTAAACTTCTACTAATATTTTCCAGAAACTAAATCACGTGATGATGGCCATGGCCCAGCTTCTCAACATTAGAATGCCAGGTACTTATGAGGTCACTATCCCTCCCCAAAACCCTGAAATGTCAGGAGGAGATGGGCCTGCGAAAGGACCTGGCCAATCAGGTACACACTAAAATAAATAAATTGATGGTTTAGCTTTTTTAGATTTCTGCTGATGTCTTTTTTTTTTATTATTTTCTTTCTCTTTTTCTTTTTTCTTTTTTTTTTGTGGAGTGAGTTCCTATTTAGCTTAAAAGCAAAAGGGTGCGAGTCTGTCAAGACATTCAAAATTCTGCCTCAAAGTGACCTGTCATATTATTTGCTAATGTAAATATTTCGTCTTTCATTAATCCCATCTCATGATTGTAGTTTAAGCACGTTAGTTGAGCAAATTTGGTGTTTAAATGTTTTTGGGGTTTTTTGTTTTTAAAACAAATTGTGGCAGAGTGACTATACCATCTATCCATGTTATGTTTTACAGGGGTTCTGTGTACAAAGGATGGTGCTTCACCTAGTCAGGATGAGTGGCTAAGGCAATTTGATGTGTCTCTACCTGGCTGTACACTGAAGAAACAAGTTGACATTCTGGCACTTATTAAACAGGTTGGTCCCTAAAGGTCTCCTATTGCCTCATTTAATCTTTTTTATTACATGTGTTGAAAGCGTTACATCTCCTGCGTGCATTTTGCTCTCAGGAATTTGCAGAGACTGAAGAAAAACCAGTTCAGCACTGCTATACAACCAATGTAAATGATTTGGATGTGCGCCACCTTCCTATTATACCAGTGGAGGAGTCTCCACCCCCATCACCGTCTCCTCCTCATCCTCCTCCATCTCTGCCAGTTACAACTAGTGAAGCTGAACCTTCCAAAAAATCAACTTCCTCATCACCGTCTCCCTCCAGTCCGGCCAATGTCCAAACAACAGCTGAGCCTGAACAGCATGTTAATCCTTCTCTTGATGCTGCTCAATCAACTGAAGTCACAGAGCCTGAAGTTGCTGCTCCAGAGTCTTGCGCAGACGCAGCAGCTACCTCGGCAGTTTCTGATCCTGCTGCTGCTCCTGAAGATCATCTGAGTGCTGTTGTCAAGGAGGAGGAGGTAGAGGATTTGGTCACTGATCCAGCTCAACCTCCTAAAGATTCTCCCACCCCCATGGAGTCTTCCCCTAAAGCTGTCAAGCAACGCAGGCCTCTCTCACCTGATGAGGAGGTGGTGCATCCAAAACTGAAGAAATGGAAGGGGATTCGCTGGAAGCGTCTTCAGATTGTTATCTCGATTCGGAAAGGTGGCTCTAAGAAAGAAAACAGCCGTGAGGTGTCTGAACTGATGGAACGGCTGCGCATTACTCTTCGACCAGAAAGGCTGCCTCGGGATAAACGCAAGTGCTGCTTCTGCCACGAGGAAGGCGATGGTGCCACAGATGGGCCCGCTCGTTTGCTTAATATTGATGTGGACCTATGGGTGCACTTAAATTGCGCTCTGTGGTCCACAGAGGTGTACGAGACACAGGGGGGTGCCCTAATCAACGTGGAGGTAGCCCTGCGTCGCGGATTGCGGACTCTTTGTGCGTACTGCCAGAAAACTGGTGCCACAAACAGCTGCAACAGACTGCGCTGCCCGAATGTCTACCACTTTGCCTGTGCCATCCGGGCACGCTGCATGTTCTTTAAGGATAAGACCATGTTGTGCACCCAGCATAAACTGAAGGGGCCCAGTGACGATGAACTCAGCACATTTGCGGTCCTACGCCGCGTCTACATCGAGCGTGACGAGGTGAAACAGATAGCTAGCATCTTGCAGCGCGGAGACCGTATCCACCTGTTCCGCGTCGGAAGTCTCATCTTTCACGCTATTGGCCAGTTGCTGCCCTCCCAGATGGCCAACTTCCACTCAGCTACTGCAATCTTCCCCGTTGGCTACGAGGCCACACGCATCTACTGGAGCACACGCGTACCCAACAAGCGATGCCGCTACCGCTGCCGCATCAGTGAAGATGATGGCCGCCCGCTATTTGAAGTGCGTGTTCTGGAGCATGGGATGGAGGATTTACAGTACCGTGACCCTACTCCAGAAGGTAAAACAAAAGTGCTTTCTGATTTTTGTGCTCTATTCTCCCTTTGTTATGTTTCTTAACCTTAAAGAACAGAGTTGAATTTGCTGTTTTTGTCTTTAGGGATCTGGGACCGGGTTGTTCAGCAGGTGGCTAAACTTCGTGAGGAATCATCCATGTTGAAACTGTTCACTGAACACATCAAAGGGGAGGAGATGTATGGCCTTACAATTCACGCTGTCATGAGAATCACTGAGTCGGTAAGAATCCCGAGCACTTTCTGTCCCTTTTTTTATTTTGTCTTTATGTCCCATGTTCACTGATCTGTGGTTGGATAACTGTTTCAGACGGTAATAAAACAGCATTACAGACTTCACAAAATATCTGCTCTATCTTGTATTAACTGAACTCAATGTGACCAGAAATGATAAGCTTTATAGCCATTATAAGTCCATTATGATGATCATTGACTGACTTGTTGTGTTTTAGTTGCCCGGAGTGGAGAACTGCCAGAATTACCAATTTAGATACGGCCGGCACCCTCTGATGGAGCTCCCACTCATGATTAATCCCACTGGCTGTGCTCGCTCAGAGCCCAAGGTCCCCACACACTGCAAGAGGTAAAGCATTATTTTTAGCGAGAAGCTGCACACTCAACACGTTCTGACATATCTGTTAATCTGTACAGCCATGTGAATCACGTCGAAGAGGCTTGTTGACTAAATGTTAACATTTTTGCGGAGTTAAATTCCAGACAGAATATGTTGACTGGTGAGGTAATATACATTAAAAAATGAAACTCTTTTAACATCTATGTAATGTGTAGCAAGTACATAAGCTAAAATAATTTATGTTGGTTATGAGTAGTTGGGCACGGACACGCTCCGGTTGGAATTTAAAATTCCGATTTAGTTATAGCTGCAGTTCTTTTTATTTTTATGTGGGTTACAAATGCAAGTAACTTGCTTCAAAACAACTTCAAACCTGTAAAATTCAAAACATTCAGACTTTCATGTTTCTTTCTTTTTAGGCCTCACACTCTTAACAGCACCAGTGTGTCCAAGGCCTACCAGAGTACCTTCACTGGAGAGCTCAACACACCGTACAGCAAGCAGTTTGTCCACTCCAAATCCTCCCAGTATCGGCGCTTGAAGACTGAGTGGAAGAACAACGTGTACTTGGCACGTTCCCGCATTCAGGGCCTGGGGCTGTACGCTGCGAAGGATTTGGAGAAGCATACGATGGTTATTGAGTACATTGGTACTGTCATACGCAACGAGGTGGCCAATCGCCGGGAGAAGATCTATGAAGCGCAGGTACTCAAACAGTTGATGGAGAATGGGTGGTGCAGAAACTTTGTTTGCTGTGCCGCTCAACTTTCTACAGCTGTAGGACACGTCTGACCTTTTTTCTTTTTCTTGCTCTTTTGCTGTAGAACCGAGGGATCTACATGTTCCGTATCAACAACGAGCAAGTGATCGATGCAACTTTAACAGGTGGCCCAGCCCGGTAAGTGTTTGTTTGTGCATGGCTGCCTTGTTTCAAACCCTAATTTAAGGTTAATTTCCTCCCCCAAAATTGATTTGATTTTCCCCCATTTCCCTTCTCACCAGCTATGTCAACCATTCCTGTGCGCCCAACTGTGTTGCTGAGGTTGTAACGTTTGACAAAGAAGACAAGATTATCATCATCTCCAGCCGAAGGATTCCTAAAGGAGAGGAGGTGCAGTGTGATAAACAGCCTTCATTGTACTACTACTATATCTGCAGCCTTTAACTGTCTCTCTCTTAATTCCAGCTGACGTACGACTACCAGTTTGATTTTGAGGACGATCAGCACAAGATCCCTTGCCACTGCGGAGCCTGGAATTGCCGAAAATGGATGAACTAACCAGAAAGATGGAAAATTCCCTCTCGCTGGTACCAGAACACTCCTGCGCCAAAGCCTATGAAAATCCTACATCGCCAGTGCATAAGCTGTTCATAAAGATATGGAGGAAGGCTGGCCTCCGCTATTAAAAGACTAAAGTGTTACCTGTAGCCAAAGGTTTGAAGAGCATTAATCAATAAAAGCAGCCGACCACCATTCATCAGCAGAAGCTTGATGGTGGGACTAACTTTCGTGTTTGGAGTAGTTGAATCACCCTTTCCTCAGCCAAATCCCTCCTCTTCCCCATCCCCCACTTCAAACCCTCCCAACTATTCTGGTCTCAATAAGCTTACAGTGGCTGGAAAATGATCCTCACCATCTACCAAAACATTCTGACCCTCTGATATCACTGCTCGTAGTACAGAGCTCATCTGGAGCTTCGACAAAAAAAAGCCATTAAAAATGTTGAGAATGAACTAAGGACACTTTTTTAAAAAAAAAATTTTTTTTTTAATGTTTTAAGTCGGACCTATTTCCTGTCCCGTCTGACCACACCTCCCCCCCTTACCTCCCAGACAAGGCACTTTCCCATCAATGACTCATAACGACAACATGGATATTGGCTAGCTAGACAATCTTGATGTGGCTCTGTGTGAGAACTACATGTGATCGATGGAGAGAGGAAAAAGAAAAGAGGAGAAAAAAGTAAGTTAATATAAAAAATGTAAGATACTATTGATCTGTGGCTTCAGTCGCACCAGATGTTCTGACTGTGTGGAGTCCCATGGTGGGTTAGTTGGACCCAGTCTACCTCACTGATTTAGCGAGAAGTGACTGCTTTGTATAAAAACTGTTAACTGCTACTGTGGAAATACTCCGGGGGGTTGGGGAGGGGGCGCGATGGTGATTTTTGGGGGTGGGAGGGTTGTTTTTATGGGCTTAGCCTTCTCGGACAAGCAGGGAATCTTAAGCAGCAGGTTTGCTCTATCTACTCTATGCTGATGATGATTTACAATAATGAGCCAACATAATTATTATTCATGAATTATTTATACAGATGAACTATATGACAGTTTTGATAAGATATTGCATTAAAGTCACAATCAGAAGCTTAGTGGGTGTTCTGTATGCCACCAAATCATCCTGGATATTGATGTAGCTTTTTGCTTTTGTGTTCTTATTTATGCATCTAAAAACAAAATCCTGCTATTAGCTGTGTGAAAGCACAATAACATCCACATTTATTTTTTCTGAGTTGCTTAAGACAGTAAGAGTTTGAGTGAATGGCTCAAGGATCACGCAGGTCCAAAATGAACCAAGTACCCATTAGCTGGTTGTTTCACACCTGAAAGTTCCACTTGTTTGGGGAAAAAAAAAAGGAGCCAGCAGATGCATGACTACTGTCCCCATTCAGTGCTTTTTTTTTTTCTTCTCTTCTTTTTTTGTTTGTTTTTTACTCCCCAACAAGTCAACCTTAAACTTTAATCATGCCTCTTCCTCTCTCTGTATTATTTAATGGACTGTTGTTAAACTTTTACTGTAGTAAGTCTTCCTCCGCCTGAGTACAGCCTGCAGTGTTTCTACTTCCCCTGTAGTGTGCTTTTTCTAGTGCTGGTACTGTCTCCTCGAGGCTGAACTGATGGCAGGGAAAGACTTATTGGAAAAAAGGGCATTTGTTTTCATTTCTGTATAAGAATAATGAGAAAAAAAAGTCTTTAAAGGGAGCTTTACTAAAACTCCACCTTCCCATACTACTTTGGTTCCTCCTTCCCTTAACCTAAGACCTCACATGATTTTAAAATGCAAAGTTGTAAAAACTGTAAATATACTATATGCATTGAGGGAGGGGGGGACAACAGCTCTTTATCCAGACCCTTTGTAATCAAAGTCAAAAGTGTAGAAAAATAAAATTGGAAAAAAAAATCAACCACTGGATATCATTTTAACAAAGATAAAGCTGTACATAAATATAAATATATGTAAAATGGCAAACTAATATCTTTATGTATATGAACCAGAGTGTTTTGCATTTACTTGTTTTTTCTATTAGTGTTTTTTGCTATAAGCTTTCAGGTGAGTTTGTTAAAAATAGATGTGAGGAAAATGTCCGGGGTTCTCGACGAGAAGCCGACGTGATAACGAGGCTGTTTGGATTCACGCAGAGAGTTGTTAATTAGACATGGAAAAATCACTTCTTGCATAAAGCAGTACAATGGTGCATAGCATTTGTATTTATGTAATATTGTTCATGTTTCTTTTTTTCTTTTTATTTATGCTACTGCTTGTCGATTTACCAAAACCTCCCCCTTTAATCGGTCAAAATTGGATTCATATAGTCTTGAATGGACAAATCTTGAATTCCCTAGAATATTGTTAGTGTTTTGCTTTTTCTTTTTTTTCCTTTAATATCTTCCCTATAGAAGTGAATGTGTTGGTTAACATTGTGAAATGGTTACTTGGCCTGATGTATGTTATGATGTAATAATCAAAGTTAATCCCATACTTAACCTGGTAATGAATTGCACTCTCGTAGTATAACAGAAACTTTCTCTGAAGTGGTAGATATTGATCAAGTATCCGAAGCAGTGATATATATACATATATATCTATATTTTTTGGTATGTTTCTATTCCAAGGGAAGAACACGAGACATTATGCCGCTCACTGGATTTCCGCCTGAATAATTTTTAACTTCTCTGAAACTTAATTTAAGTTCTCTGCATATCTTATAATTTAATAAAGGTTGCTCATAATTTGATTTTTTTTTTCTTTTTAACCTCACGTACTTTAAAATACAAAAAAAAAAAGATGTTGCATCTGTACAGCAGAGATACTTTTAGGGAATATGAATAAATATAATGATCATTTTTATTGTATGTGGCATGTTTTATATGGATATTATTTTGAATTGTACATATTTTTTTCAGGACGCCAGAGGTTGCATCTCTTTATATACTGGTTTTCCACTTCCTTTCCCCTTCATCTTATTTCTTTGTCTTTTGTTTCTTGTAAAGGAAAAATAAAATGCATTTTAAATATGTGCTCATTTTCTATTGTCAGCACATGACCACGAAGCTTGATACTTGGGTCAACCGATGGTTATATGAACCGTTTTTACTCGTGGTGGTCCTACTGGTCAGTAAAGGGATGCTTTACTATTCTATACATGAACCAAGAAAATCCACGAAATTATTCTGGGAAAACAAAGCTTTCATGTGGCACTCGTGCAAACCATAGGATGATGCCAAAAAGCAGAGTAAGAGCACTCCCATCATGGTTAGAATTCTTAAATTGGTCATTTGTAGATTTTAGATTTGAAGTTCCAAACAAAAACCTCTAAAATAAACATGTTTTATTGCTTAAAAATCTCAATTATATTCGCATACAGGCCAACAGAAAGTAAACAAGTTGTGCCATTGTCCTTGTCAGCGGATAAGGTCTGTGAGCTGTGTGCTTTTAGCTGGTAGGATTGAAAGAGTGAATTAAATAACCGGGTTCCTGGAACCAGTATATGCAGAAGAGCATCTCTGAAAGCACAGCAGATGGGCTACAGCAGCAGCAGACCACACTGGTGTCGCTCCCGTCAGCTAAGGAAAGGAAACCGAAGCTAGAATCAGCAAAACTGGAAAATCATTGCCGAGTCTGATAAGCCATCATTTCAGCAACATTAAGGATTGAAGGGTCAGAATTTGGTAAAACACCTGCCATGTATGGATGTATGTCACAAAGTCTTAATGAACAAGCAAATGTAGTTTTTGGTAATGCTGTATGACTGAGGGCGTAGTGGTATTAAATTATATTTACATGCACATACTTAACAGCTAGGTACACTACAATAAAGGGGTAGCAAGTCAAGTATAATTATTGCTTTGTAAAAACCTAAGAGTAAAAAATAAATAAATAATAGAAAATCCAACATGCACATCAACATAATGACTGAGATAAAAACACTGGGAGGGGCCAGCAGCACCCCTCGGCCTCCTGCTAGATAGATCTATGGTACCATTTAAAAAAAATTAATCCTACGTCGCATTGTTCACAAGTTATCACAGTCACAAGCTTTTCAAAAAAAGTTGACCTCTGACCCTTGATCTTGAGATCGAGGTCAATGAGATTTGAACTTGAACTGTTGAGATTTTTAATACCGGTAGGTCCACCTGTGGTGTCAATTTCGAAATCGTAGGTGACTTCCTGCTCAAGCTATCGCATTCACAAGATTTTCAGAGAACTTGACCTCTGACCTTGAGGTCAAAGTCACCGATGTTCAAACCAGATTTTCAGTAGAGAAACTGATGATACTGGCTGTATCCCAGCTCAGGGTCTGCAGCCTTAAAGGCCGCATTTCAAGGCCGATTACGTCACAGCGGCGCGCCGAAGGCTGTCCCAATTCAAAGGCTGCTCGAAATGCGGCCCTGAAATGCGTCCTTCATTTAATTTAAGGATGTGGCAGTGTAGACTTCGTGGCCCAACATATCCCAGAATGCATAGCGCGGCGGTGCGTGTGGATAATTTTGCCGAAAAAAAAACAAACAAAAAAAAAAACGGCGGATGTAGTTACACTACAATAAAGGGGTAGCAAGTCAAGTATAATTATTTCTTTGTAAAAACCCAAGAGTAAAAAATAAATAAATAATAAATAAATAATAGAAAATCCAACATGCACATCATGTGAGGGGCAGCCGAAGAGTAAACTTTAAGTACTGAATATTATGTCACTTATGTGCAAATGTTTAATAACGAAGAACATTAAAACATTACTGTTGGCCACATGTCGGCAAAGTTATGTGACATTAGTGACGTTTGTACTAACTTGGTTTTAAAGCCTTTACTTTAAAATATACGCCGTCCAATAGCTGAGCTTAATCAGAGAATGATCAAAGCTCATGTAGAAAGAAACAAACAAACGAACAAAAGATTTTCTCCTTCATTTCTGTCAAACACAGCTGTATGACACGTTTCCAGCTGTTAGTATCATGGTTGCTAGGCAACCTGGGCAGCGCAACGGAGGCTAGACCGTCACATTTTACAAGCCTCGCACTTCCGGCCTTAGCGGTCTTTGAGTACGCGGCCCTTGAGGATCGTTGAGGCTGCGTACTTTAAGGCTGCAGACCCTGAATTGGGATACAGCCATAGACGTGAAACTGCTATGTCGCTTCGTTCTGGAGTTTTAGCTTTCACGGGTGTCCACGTCACCTGCCCGTCTGGCAGGGTGACGACAATCAGCTTTTTATGGCTGTGGGGGGAAAATGCAAGTCACTCCATAATATGCCCCCCAACAATATAACAAATTTATAATGTAAGATGGGTAAATATTGCTTTTCTGTAAAACTACCAGGTAATTAAAATACTACTTACAATTATTTACTCCATGCAGTACTTATTACTTAAGCACTACTTAAATGTACTTCCACTGTAATTGTTTCCTATAAGAACCTGAGATGTTACCAGTCATTGTAGTGCACCTAAGTATTTGTATGTAAATATAGTTATATTGTAATTTATAATCCCCCATCAGTGTATTTTGTCTTTAGTCACAAGCCATAATTTAAAATATTATCTTCTTTATGAAGAAAAAAAAAAAAAACAAAAACAAGAGAAAACCAAACATCTGAAATGAGCACTGGCCAGAGTCACGGATAAGAAAAAGAGGATTTTATTGTATATCATCTATGTACACCTTTGAACTAATTCTGAAAAGATCTGCACAATATTATTTTTTATTACCTATGAACAGGATGTCTGATGGTCATATACCCATGGCAACAAACCAAACATGGACAGGAGTGTTTTGACAATTTTGGTTCAACTGACAGCAGTCGCCCACTTCCCCTCCCTTCTTTTATTCACTTCCCTCTGCCCGCTGAACTTCTACCCATGTTAACAGTAGCAGCAACATTTCTGGGGTACACAACCAACAACAAACAGAAAACAAAAACAACAAAAACAAAATAAAAAAAACAACAAAAAGCACACAGGAAATGGTGGGGGGAAAAACCAAACAAAAACAAACAAAAAAACATCATCTCTTAAGTTTATCTACCTCAATGCAGAGGACCCAGTGTTTGAGACAGCATGCAAAAAATGGATACCAACATGACACATGGATTCTGGATCAAGTGATGGCGTAACTAACGTTAACTAATCGCCCTTGTGGACATAACAGTGCAGAGCCCGATGGTGACAAATGTCAGTGTAATACTTTCATAGTCTCGTCTGGTGACGGACTCAAAGTCAGATGTAGAATGAAAACATGCAGTTTCTCTTTACAGCATGTCAGTCTTTGACAGTAAAACTCCCAACTACATTTTACATCTAACCACATGTTCCCTGTGCACGAACTGTCAGCAATCGTCTGGATTTCTGAATAAACAGCCAGTGGCAGTATCAGAATAGTAAGGTTTACAAGAAGCTGCTAAGTATTCCAGTGTCATTGAGAAAGATGTCACCCCAGAAGACGTATGTAGAAACAGATCTGCATTACTCAGCTCTTGAAAGAACTCAACAAGCACCTGCAATAGTTGTGTTTATATAGATTTAAAAAATTAAATTAAATTTAAAAAAGGAAGTTGCAGCAAAATGGCCTGGGATCAGTAGTACCACCAAATTACCATGAGAGGAGCAAG